AGTTGCAACAGTGAATATGCATGGCATAGTTTTCTACTGTATTTCAGTATTTCACAGGTAGAAAAAAAGGTTGGTTGGATGAAATAATATTTTTTAAAATTTGTTTGATTTACTATAAAAAAGTTAGATAAATGAGATTAAAAAAAAAAAACTATATTTTCCACACTCAACAAGAAATTTCCAGCCATCAACCTTGATTCTTGGTCGCAAAAATCAATTTTGCAGAAGTCAATTAGAGAAAGACACAATCAATTATCTGTGCCATAAAACTTAAAAAATCTACTGTTGGAGATGCGAACATCAATTTTCAGACACATAACAATGGATTAGACTGGCAAATTATGTATGGACAGAAAGCTATAGCTTTGATAGAAACTGATAAGTGTAGATTTAACCTTTTTATTTTATTTCTTTCCTTCACACTTCATTTGTAACAAACAACCTTTATTTTAAACATGTTTTGTTACTCTATTTCCCATTATTTATTTATTTATTTTACGAAATAAACTCTTTCTCACAGGCAGTGATCAGTGGATTCAGGCAAAAATATGAGAGAAATAGAAAAAGAGGAAAAGTAGAGAAGGAGAAATAGATATAATGAGTAATACGAAGAAAAAGAAGAGATATATAAAAAGGATGAAAAGATTTGCATGTATGTCTATTATTTTCCTATTTATGGTGAACTTTCCATCAGATTATTCACTGTGCAATACCTAATTTTTATGTAATTTATTATTATTTACAATAATAAACACGTAATAATCTCCAACCTCATAATACTTTTTCATAGGAAAACTTAAATTCAAAACTGAGCAAAAATGCTCATTGTTAAGAGTTTAGAAAATGAGGTAATGAATGTAGTATGTGTTGGGTAAAATTAAATTAAAAAGATAATAAGAAGATGATTAGTTTAAGAGTTTAATGAGATAAAATTAAATAAAAAAAGATAATTAAGAGTTTGTTGAGACATTTTGATATTGATGATATTTTTGGTGATTATTATTTGATTTTGAGAGTTTTATTTTTTAAAATAAGATTTGGATTTTGAAGCATTATATAAATAGACTATTGTATTCCTTATAAAGGTATGACAAATAATTAATAAAAATTAGTTTTACAGAAATTTTTTGTTATCAAATTGGTATCAAGAGTTTGAGTTATTTAAGAAGAGCTAAGATTTTTCAGATGAGCTAGGATTTTTCGTAAGAGCTAAGATTTTCTCAAGAGAGCTAGAATTTAAATTTTTGAGAGTCAAAAAAAGTTGAAGAGTAAGAATTGTCGATTTGACGAATGTTGCAGTTGTGTCCCAATTGACATAAGGCATCAATTATGATAGATGGAGTGTCCAGATGAAGATTCTCTTCTTCAGCCCAATATTGTTGAGAAATAGTAGATGAAGACATTGAAGAACCAAAAATCATAGAAGGATGAGCATCCTCCGCTCTTAAGGCATTGAAGGAGCAACATTCAAGAATAATGCAACTTTGTTTATTTTATTTCGAGATATAAAATATTTCGATTTTGATAAGATTACAAAAGTTACATCTACAACCAAAACGTGGTTGGAGAAGGAGTACAAGAACGATAGCCGAGTCACACGGATTCAATGATAAACATTGCATAACAAGATGGAGAGTATAAGAATAAAAGAGTCAGAAGAAGTTTCTTAATATATTTTGCATGTAGAAAACATGGAAAAATAACTTAATCAGAATGAAAAGACATTTTTTACAAAATAAATAGTTGAAAAGATATTGAGATCATTAACATGACAATACAGTTCGGAGCAAATTACAACTCGGACAGCTCAATTTGATTCCTAGATACAAGAGCGAATAATCATATGTTTGTGATGAACATATTTTTAAAGAGGACAAATGCTGGTAGTGTGTCATTTAAAGATGCTTTGAGAGTCTTGGTAAAAGCCTAGGAACTATCTTTTATTTAGAGAAGGATGGATTGGTTGGGATAATCCAAGATATGTATTTTGTTAATCTTAAAAGCAATATTTTGAGTTTGGGACAATTAATGGATAAATGATACTCCATTTTCATAAAAGATCAAGTACTACAATTGAAGGATAAGCACGAAAGACTGATTGTTTGGTTAAGATGGAGAAAAATAAAATATATAAGTTGCAGTTGAAGATATTCGGAAGAAGTATCTGAAACTTAACATGAAGGACACAGTGTTAATTTGGCATCATCAATTTGGCCACTTGAGTTTTGAAGGGCTAACCGAACTGTCAAATAAAAGTATGGTACTTAGACTGTCAAGCTTGCATAATGAAAGAAGATTATGCGAAGATTATATTCTCGAAAAACTAGCGAGAACCCCCTTTTCAAGGAGTGTCAAATACTAAGAGAATGAACAACTCACGCTGATTCATACTGATTTGTGTAGACTGATTACCCCTAAATCATTCAGTGGTAAAACATATTTCATGACGTTTGTTGATGACTTCTCTAAAAAGACGTGGTTGTACCTACTAAAAGATAAATCTAAGGTGTTTGAAGTGTTTAGGAAGTTCAAGATGATGGTTGAAAATGTGACTAGGTAGCATATCAAGTTAGTTCAATCTGATAGAGGAGGAGAATTTATGTCGGTAACTATCATAAAATACTGTGAAGATGAAGAGATAAGAAGATATCGAACATGGTCCAAGCTATGTAGAAGACTAAAAATATGCCAAAGAAGTTTTTGATATAAGCAGTGCAATGTGTTATCTATATGCATAAGTGTCCACATGCAAAGTTAGATTATATAACACCACAACGAGGCATGAAGTGGTCAAAAACCAATTGTGTCTCATTTCAAAGAGTTCGGAAGTTTAGCCTATAGAGTAGTTTCATCTCAATAATAGATTAAGCTTGAAGAGAGGAGTAAGAAGTATGTATTCATTGATTTGATAAAACATGGAAAGCTTATAAGCTATTAGATTCAATCAGTAAGAGAGTGGTTAAAATTTGTGATGTTCAATTTGATGAAGCAAGTGAGTGGAACTAGGGAGAATTAGAGGAAGACAAAGGAGGTCGAGTTGTTGTACCACCAGTTGTTACCATCTTAGAAGGAAAGGAGAAGAACGAACCATGACCCAGAATGCAAAGTTTGTGATACTTATATGGTTCAACCGATGAGGTTCATGTTGTCTGTCTTCTGAAAAATTCCGAGGACATCACAATTAAGGAGGTCATACGTGATGAGAATTTGCAAGCTACCATGGATAATAAGATTCGTGTTATTGATCGGAATAGAATTTGGGTGATAATCGAGCTACCGAACAATGTTTGACTTATTAGCGTGAAATAGGTGTTCACGAAGAAACTGAATGCACAAGGAGAAGTAGTGAGGTATAAAGCTCGGTTGGTTTCGAAGGGTTACGAGCTGAAAGAAGGGGTTGACTATGAAGAGGTGTTTGCTCCTGTAGTAAGGATGGACAATGTTCGACTGTTAATCTCATTAGCGACACAGAACAAATGGTCGATCATGCAAATAGATGTCAAGTCGGTATTTTTTAATGACAGACTCAAGGAGGAGGTGTATGTTGAGCAACCACTGATACATGAAGAAAAGCGAGGAGAAAAAAGTATTAAGACTGAATAAGGTTTTTTATAGGCTAAAACAAACTCTTTGGGCATAAAATGACCAGATAGATACCTACTTTAAGGAGAATGAATTTATACAATATCCCTATGAACATGCTCTATATGTGAAGAATAATGGAGGTAATATGATGTTTGTTGCACTATATGTCGATGATCTCATTTTTTTTATGATTCAAGAATTCAAACAAATAATGACAATTGAATTTGTGATGACTGATTTTGGCATGATGAAGTTTTTTCTTGGTCTAGAAGTAAGACACGAGAAGTCAGGAATATTTGTGTCCCAAGAGATGTATGCAAATGAGATTTTGAACATATTAAAGATGATCGGTTGTAATCCGGTCTCAACCCTCATGGAACCAAGGACAAAACTTTCAAAAGTTAATGAAGGACACTGAGTTTATCCAAGCAGATTTCAGAGCCTAGTTGAAAATTTTCGTTACCTCATAAGTACTAGACTCGATTTGTTGCTGAATGTTGGGGTTGTCAGCCGATTTATGAAGAATCTAAGCTACTCTCATTGGAAGGCATCGAAACGAATATTAAGGTATATTTGAGGTACATTTTTACTCGAACTATTGTACATAAAGTCAAACAATTATCGGCTCGCCAGGTACTCAGACAATGACTAGTGTGAATATGTGGATGATCATAAAAGTACATTGGGGTATATATTCTTCATGGCTAACACAATTTTTACCTAGCTTTCAAAGAAGCAACCCATAATAATATTGTCAACCTTTGAAATCAAGTATGTAGTAGTATCGTAGAATGTGTGTCATGTAGTATAACTCAGAAATTTTCTAAGTTCGATGGAGGAGAAACAACTGTAATCCGAGTTGGTCATTGAAGTAACGAAGAATCCGATCAATCATGAGAAGAGCAAACCCATTAATATGTGTTTTTACTTTATTTGAGAACATGTGAAGAAATGAAATGTGAAAGTCCTACATATAGCAAGTTGTGATCAAGTTATTAATATTTTCATAAAGTCACTCGTCTATTATGTTATTCGACAATTATAAAAGACTAATCGAAATGAAAGATAAAAGGAACTCAAGTGTACCAGAACTTAGATATTTGAAAAGTTGACAAATCAACTAAATTGATAATTGATAAAGTTTTAAAGACAACAAGTTAGGAGATTTAATTTTGTTGCTAAGAGATTGAATTTTATGAAAAATTTGTTAGATAAAATTAAATTAAAAAGATAATAAGAAAATCATTAGTTTAAAAATTTATTGAGATAAAATAAAATAAAAAATATAATTAAAAATTTGTTTCAACATATTAATATTAATGATATTTTTGGTTATTATTTGATTTTAGTAAGACAAGAGTAGATACTATGACAGTATATAAATATTAGCAATAAAATCAGTTTTTCAAAAATACCTTCTTATCGGAATGAAAGAAGAAATTAGCAATGCGTACCCCACAAAGGCGTTGAGGAAGAGCCAGCACCAAATCGACCATCTTAACTTCTTCTGGCGGCCTCTGCAATCACAACACATATCATTCAATACAAAAATATAGAGAAAGTTTATACATGCAGAAGAACAAGCATCAACATGAATGAAAGTTTAAGAGGAAAGAAAAGCTTAACCTTTCAAAGTAGAAAGCAAAAGGAGCAACACAAACAGCAGCAACAACGTGACGATAGGCAATAAGTGCAAAAATGAAAGTGCCCTCAACAAGTATGACCCTGGACAGAATCTGCATCCCCGTTGCAAAAACTTGCACTAAAACCATGCTAAGCACAGTCTTCCACCCCTTCAACCATTCCTTCACAATTTTCATCTTCTATGCCCCTCTCTCTTTCTCTCTCTCTCTCACTCTCTTTGAATTGTCCTTATCTAAAGATAAAAAATGTGGGGAGAAAAGGGTTTTGTTTGGTTTGGCACAGGAATCAGGAATCGGGAACTGATGAAAGTTTGTATTATCTGATTAGCAGAGAAAAAAAGGAAAAAAAAGATGAAGTGAAGAAAATCTAATCAAGATCGCAGACATGGTACAAAAAGCATAAGCATAATTTGGAAGGTAGAGAATGATAACAGATGCCATACATTTTATTGCGCAAACTATATGGTAAGTTAGGAAACTCTAGGTGTCAGAGCCATGTGTTCTCGCTACATGTATTACAATATATGCATTATTAATTAAGTAGGGACATTTTTTCAAGGTTATTTCACACATCACATGTTGTACAGTATATGCATTATTGAATAGAGACATTTTTTACCGTTAAGCATGTAGATTAGTTGGAACATGTTTACATAAATGCCTTTTTCTTTATCAAGTAATTCAACGTTTATCACAGAAATTTACATTAACTCCATCATATATATATATATATATATATATATATATATATATATATATATATATTCTTTAGATTATTGAAACTCAATTTAAATATAAAGAGATAAAAAAAAGTACTAGAATGTGTACAATATTCTAGTTAAGAAGACCGAATTACAAACAACGATTAAAAAAAATATATGGTAATTTGAAAGTTGAAAGATAAATCTTTTCTCAATTTCACATGTTGCATGTGGAATGTACATACAATATAGAAGTAAATATATTCTTATTTATAATATAGAAGTATTTTGAAATTTGTTTTAGTAACGTGCTGACATTAAAAATTGATATAAATAGTCATAACTAAACTCTACTTAAAATCAAAGAATATATAATATCATAAAACTTCAAGTGATGGAGCTATGTTTTGTTTTAGATATATTTATATTAATTAATATATATAAAGGGATATTATTTTTCGTAACTTTTTTATGTTATTTCTTTTTACAATTTTATCTTTACTCCTATAATATTTTAATGGTTATTTAAAAAAAACTATTGTGCTAATTATTCTTTTTATTGGTTAAATATATATACAATTAATGAGTCTTGTTTATAAAATCCTCAAATATTATAAAAGTATATCTAATTATATAATTATATGGAAAGAGCAACTATATCTAATTGGACTACATTTGTGAATATGGTAACAATTTTTTCAATCACAATTTTAATTGTACATGACATCACTTGGTCTGAAACATGTATACTATTATTAAGTATATAATATATGATATTATAATCGATTATGATTATTGAAGACAAGACAAATAAACATATATGCTAGTAAATTTGAATATGATCACTTAGACAATGACATCCTAACAAACAAGTTTAGTATTTCATGGTTATTTTCTTGACTTTGCCTATAACAAAATCATGGACAGCTCCATATAAATTTTTAAAACATTTAAACGCATTGTAGAAGTAAAAATGATAAAATCAATATATTTATTAATAAATTGTTATGTATTATATATTTATGTATGTCTATTATTTTATAAATTTTTATTAATAAAATAAAAATGTAAACATAATTAATTTAAGCAAAGAAATGTAGGAAGAAGAGAACAAATGTTTCCTCATTGGGAGTAATTCATGTGAAGATCTGAACAAACTAAAATATTAGAAAGAAGAGGTTTTACTAGGGTTTTATTAAAAAAGAGGAAGAAAATTTATGCGCACGAAAGAACTTCAGAGAACTCCAGCTTACGAAAATGGCGACCATTTGGAAAACCAACGCGGCGAGAAACGCAGTGCGTTGTTTGAGCCAATCGTTGGCCTCCACTAGCCGCACTCCTTCCATTTCCTATCGTTTCTCCTCCGTTCGCTACCTCCGCACTGGTCGCGATCCTAGTTCCAGGTTAGTTTCGTTGCTGTTAGGTTTCGCTGTCAAACAATTTTTGAATTTTCTTTTTATTTTTTCATTTTAATTTTGAGGCGTTGTTGAGTAGGACTTACGAGATTATTCCACCGGTGAATTGGGGGATTCGGATTGTGCCGGAGAAGAAGGCGTTTGTGATTGAGCGATTCGGGAAGTACGTTAAGACTCTTCCCTCTGGAATCCATTTTTTGATTCCTTTCGTTGATCGTATCGCTTATGTACATTCGCTCAAGGAGGAGGCTATTAACATTCCCGACCAGAGTGCTATTACCAAGGACAATGTCACCATCCTCATCGATGGAGTGCTTTATGTCAAGGTTTCTGTTTCTTGTGTCTTTGTATTCGGTTATTGTATTTGAGTAGTCAAGTGGTGTTGAACTGTTTTTTTGGTTAAATTTCTTAATATGCAATTCTGGGATAAAAGTTAAGAAGGTAAAGTGAATTGAATTTCTCTTATAGGTTAAAATTAATTTATGCATAAGCTGATTTATAGAAGTTCTTGCATTTAGCTTCTAAAATAGCTTCTTTTAGTTTATGTATGGCTAATTTGAACTTATGGGAGGAGAAGTTTGATTCATTTTTGTCCAAACATGATCATGATTCATTTTATTTATTTATTATTTTTTTGCTTCGGGAGTGCAGATTGTGGATCCTAAGCTGGCGTCTTATGGGGTGGAGAATCCCATTTATGCTGTCATTCAACTGGCACAAACAACAATGCGTAGTGAGCTTGGTAAGATTACTCTTGACAAGACTTTTGAGGAAAGGGACACACTCAATGAAAAGATTGTGGTGAGTGTACTTATCAATTCTTTGAATTTTGTTTGTGCTGTTCATGTTATTCCCTTTTCCTTACATGAGGAAGCATTTTAGATACTTTAATTTCAAGTCACAGATAAAATCTTGTTGGTGGAAGTCTCCTATAAAGCAGAACATAAAATTATTCTGAAAAGTAAAAACATGTCTCTTTAGATGGAGCTATGCAAATTATGGAAAGGATGATTCGTGTAATTTATAATCCCATAGTCCTAAACCAATGGGGTTGGGTCTAATAGAAGGGGCTAGTCCCTCATAACATGGCGAAATAAGGTTTAAATTGAATCTTTGCTGGGAGAGATATTCACATTTAGTGTCAGATTGTGCTTCTAACAGGATTGTCTCTGTGAGAAACAAAAGAAGGGAAAAAAAAATTCCACAGTCCTACTTCAATCCAGTTATATATACGGGAAAGAAAAAGAGAAACCAGACAATAGCTAAAAGTGAAAGTTTTGTATTAGTTGTGTTGGTTGGGTGATATTGGTTTCTTTCCTGCTGTAATCATGTTCAACATTGCGTAAGTCCCTAAATTATGATAAAATAGGAAACATTTCTGACAATTGGTTATGGGTTTATATATTAGATTTATTTAGCAAGGTTCGCATAATAAACATGGTTTCCTAGCCAACTTGGTGCCAAGGAATTATTATTGAACATTGACTGGAAGAGATAACAGCTACATGGTATCCCTTCCATAGTAGTTAGTCTTCTGTTCTCTTACCCTAAAAACAGTACTGACAGAGTTAGTCTTGTGTTGGTCATATAATAATGGTTAATAGTGTGACAAAATTATTGCAGGAGGCCATTAATGTGGCTGCCAAAAGTTGGGGTCTGGAGTGCCTTCGATATGAAATAAGTAAGTTTTGATAGAGCAGAAATAATTTCCCTATATTTTTCACTTGACAGTTTCTGTGTAAATCTTTTTCTGGCTGTCCTTCTGTAGGGGATATCTCTCCTCCACGTGGAGTGAGAGCAGCTATGGAGATGCAAGCAGAGGCAGAAAGAAAAAAGAGAGCTCAAATTCTTGAATCTGAAGGTAATCTATTTGATATTCCAATCCTTCATATGCTCAATTTATCTTACTGCATTATTTTTCATCATGAAATTAGTTTTACTACCCATATCATTCAACTGAAAAAGGATCCTGTTCCTGACCCAATTACTACCTGTAACTTTTTAAGTTTACTGGTGTTGATATCCTGTAGTGTTTAACAGGAGAAAGACAGGCACACATAAACATTGCCGATGGAAAGAAGAGTTCAGTGATCTTAGCATCAGAAGCTGCGAGGATGGATCAAGTTAACAGAGCCCAAGGTTTTTTATATCTTGATAAATTGGTTCCACCTTCCATTTATGTTTCAATATTAATTCTTTAAGACAAACTTGGATGTCTAGCGAGCATGGTGCTATATATTATCCCTTCATTTGATTTCAAACTGTCGTTTATACCAAGGATATTTCACAGAGTGATTCTCTTGTTGAGAAGAATGATCTTGTGTGCCAAGATAATAATGAATTGTGGATTGGTTCATGGCCTTATGAGTAGCTGATTTGTGTTTTTTTCAATAACATGCCATGATTAATGTGCTGATCAATTTGATATGACATCTTCTGTTTTCTTCATATATCAATTTCAATTGGTTGATTTGATATTTTCAAAACCTAATGATTAATATGATTCTTCAGGTGAGGCTGAAGCCATCCTAGCTAAAGCAAAAGCAACAGCTGAGGGACTGGCTCATGTGTCAGCATCCCTAAAAGAAAATGGAGGACCAGAGGTGAAGATCTTCAGTTTTTTCATGTTTTATATGTCACAACTTGTACTAGCTTTTTTAATGTTGATTAGTTTAACTCATTTTTGCTTGTTAGATTAATTTGCTTTTGTGTTTCGTTGGTATCTCTATTATGCTTGGCATTTTTTATTTTTGTATTGTCATTCCAGCCATAATTGGGAGACTTCTGTTTTGTACGTAAAACATGTTATTGATTTTCCCTTCCTAGTTAGTCATAGTTTTCATTACAGATCAACTTTTTATAATGTGAAGTTTCTAGAAGACAATCAAGTAAATGACTGACCATAATAAATAGGGTTTATCACTGAAGATATGGGAAATATCAAGTGGTGAATCTGTGGATAAATTTGCGCACATCTGTTTGAACCTTATTGAGTCCCATGGAATGTCAAGGAAGGGAATAATAATGTCATTTTATTTTTGCAGGCAGCTAGTTTAAGGATTGCAGAGCAATATATTCAAGCTTTCAGTAATATAGCCAAGGAGGTAATATAGCCCTTAAACTGATTGGTATTCAAGTCTTGCATTGCATAATTTGTTTAGTTGGAAAATTGGTTGTCATTTCATCTTTACTTTATCCTCAGGGCACAACAATGTTACTTCCTAGCTCTGCATCCAATCCTGCTAACATGATGGCCCAAGCCCTTACTATGTATAAAAGCTTGCTTGGTAACGTTTCCAGTGATAAGCCTAGTGGAACTACGCCCCTTTCAATACCAGCACAATTAGAAGGAAATGATTCCTCTGGGGAGGGTAAAGGCGAGAGCTCCTCAACTGCCACAGTAACTAATGAAATCCCAGAGTATCGTGGAAAATCTGGATTTTCACTTCAGGGCCCACCAAAACGGGAATAGTTTTTTATATATACAACTTGTCATTTTTAAGAATTCATTTGGTTTTTAATGTGTGGTATGGGTGTTACAGTCAAAATTGAATTCGGACTTTGGAGAGAAGAAAGCAGAAGAGTTTGGTTGGACTTAGATTGCTAGTTTGTTGTACTGGACTTACATTTGTATCTCTCTTCTTAATTGGCAAATTTATTTGAGGAGGAAATAATTGAAAGAAAAGAAAGGACCTTTGCTGACCCCTCACGTATACCCACACTATTATTTTCTTCTTTAATGCTTGCCTCCATTTAGACTCCATGACATTGTTTATTTCATGAATTTTGAGGGTCTTCCTAACCGGTAGCATTTAGGGATGCTTTTAATAATACTCACATTGAAAATGTATTATGTATCATGATGAACGAGTATTAGTCTCGTTTTTTAATCTAATAAGCGTTTACTGAATTTGAAAAGGTACATAACTATATATAGCGCATTTACTTATTTGAGCATTTTTGTGCTTCTCGAATTTGGGATATAGACAAGGTACAAATTATGCTTTTTCATGGTAATTATGACAGCATCAGATTTTTGTTTGATTTTCAGTCGAGTTTCGAGTTACTGACTTGATTTATTAAAATCATTGCAATGGAATTCTGTTTGTAATAACACTTTCCATTTAGGGGAACTAGTTCTGCATGATAAAATTATTTGCCAGTCGTTGGACACGAAAGCGTTATGACATGTTTCTTGCTATCAAATGAACAGTAATTAGAAATTTATAATGTTAATGACACGGGATAGTTATTTGGATAATTAATTCAAAAAGTCATCAAGGAATGTTTACTTGATGAATTTGTGATATTGAGTTTGTGAACGATCTTGCAAAATAGGTACTGGGTTGACGTTGGGAAAGTCCTAAATAATCACATTTAATCACATTTTGCATTCATTACTCCCGTATACAATCATTTCACAGTAATTCTACTCCGGTTTGTTTGATTTAGTTTATCTGTGGAAAAATTATAATTCATTTTCATCTACTTCTTAAGTGTTTTTAATATAAATATGCTTGTATTAGTTTCTGATAAAAATATCATTTTTAGTCTACTCTTACAGAACTTTTTCTACTGCACAAGAATGGTCTTTCAACTGCATACTAAGCGTAGTCAATTCCCGCTTACTAAATTAGCACTTGTCTCATTCCCTAGCCAGAGCCACTACAGAGCTCGATATACACACACACACAGCTCGAGCTCATCAGATTTCCTTTATCGGCAGCACTGCATAAAGTGTTTCATTAAACGATGGCCTTGATTTACACCGTCAACGCATATTCATGCTAGTTTTAGCTTAATTGAGTAAATCGTTTAGACAGACGAGAGTGGTTCCAAAATAACGTTTTGTGAAGTTAAATTAACGGGGACAAGGCACAAGAGAAATAATGGAACATATCTGTCAGCCATTTACCACCAGTTCAAGGCCGCTTGGTCCAGAACACAGTGAGAACTTCTCATTCATTATCTACCGAGGAAATAAAGAAAAATGAAAGATTCAGCATATCATATTAAGGGCGCACGAAACAACACTCGAATAATTAATTGTGATAGCAAATTAACACATCGAATTGCAGAATTGCATTGTTGTGAGTTCAGTCAATCACCTGATTAAATGAGCATTCATCACAATAAACATTAACATAAGCAAAATGCCTATTTAACTTAGCAGTAAATTTCACAAAATATTCCAAACCAATGTGCATAATAGAAGTAAATTTCAAATAAGATATTTCCGCACAGACAAGTTTGACAACACAAAATTGTAAAATCGAAACTAAAAAAGATAACAAAAAAGATCTCCAAACTAAATAGCAGGATATCTGTTTTCATGGTCTACTCTTCTAATATGGTTCCCTTCTCACTGACGTAAATACCATCAAGAAACTTCCGAATATCCTTGTTCTTAACATGGCATTTCTGTAGCAAACAAGCAGAAAAACAATTGAAGTCTAAACAAGAGTCAAATAGAAAAGGGTTTGGGCAGGGCATGTGCAGAGAGAAAGAATATACCTGGTTAATCAGAGCACAAGACCTAGAAACAAGCTCAATGTCGTTTCCATCCAAAACCAGTTCATCCTTCACCTTCTCAGATCGAACAACAGATACACCCTCAAGCATGTCCACTTTTCTCACCTGATCACACACACGTAACCACATAAACACTAAACCTAATTACACGGTTTTCCTAGTAACAACTGACAAAAAAAAATAATTAATTAAAAATAGACATAAAGTGAGTTGAGTACCTTCTTCTCGCCGAGGAAATTTCGGATTTCAATGGATTTATTCTCGTTGCCAATGCTAGCGTTGATGGGGAAGTGAGCATACACGAACCTCATCTTGTAGCGGTAGCCCTTGGTGACTCCGGTGATGAGATTGTCGACATGGCTGAGGGCCGTGCGAATGGCGGCGGAGGTTTTCCGAGATCCAAACCAAGCGTCGATCTTCAACTTCTTTTTGCCGTTCTCGTCGGTGATAAGCTGAAAATCGAGGTTGAGATGCTTGAAATCTCGAACCAGTTTGCCACGAGGGCCCTCGACCTCGATGACCTTGGCGTGAACCTTGATGCTCACGCCGTCGGGAATGTTCATCGTCTCGGAAGAGAGAATGGTCTTCATTGTTGCTGCAACTCTCCCTCAGTCTCAAACAACACACGTCTGCACTGCACTTCCAAAACCCTAATCAACAATTATATTTAGGTTTTGACTTCGGCCCACGTACCAAAGCCCAATTCTGCTTTCAACTTCCAACAATCATATTTCCTGCGCTGTTAATTATTCTTTCTGCACCCCAACAAATTCAAATACCCTGTGACTTTATCACCATAAGGGCAGTTTCGTCCTTTCACCAAACTGGAGGTGCAGATAGCAACAACCCAAAACTAAAAGCCTGATGTATTTCGACTAGGCCCATTACTAATCTAGTTTTAATCTGAGATAGAAAAAACTAGAAACAATTTTTTTGTTGGGGGTAAGTATTCTTAACATATTATTTTCATTTAACTAATTTTCATGTAATTAACTTTCTAAAGTGGTCGATATGTGATCATTAATATATCTACCTAGTTAAATATTTATTATTTATGAATAAATTATAATTAGGGGTGTCAAAGTGAATCAACTCGGTTTACACGAGTTAATTCACCACAGGTTGAGCTGAAAATAGATGAGTTCAACCCAGCTCACTTTATGACAAACTAGAAATTTCATAATCTACCTCAACCTACTACAGACTCGTGGGTTAGTTCACTAATCTATATTTATTTGTTTATTTTTCAATTTTTTTTCTAATAAGCACGACTAAATCGTAGGATTGAAACGTAATAATGCAGGAACACGACAAATGATATGGTGCAATTGAAGCATGGTGGCGTGGTGATACGAAGAATGCAATGGTGCAACAAATGTGGTGGCTCAACAAAAGTTGTGGTGCGATTGAAACACGAAATTGAAACGTTATATCATGGTGACATGACAAACGTTGCGATACAATTAAAACATGACATTGAATCGTAACAAACGTTATAACGTGACTAAAATGCGGTAACACGACAAAGGCAATGAACATGGTGATGCAGTGATGCAACAATGAATGGCAAGCGGACAAGGTGTAGGATAAACTTGAATAAAAGTTTGACTTTTAGTGGTGGTACATAGTAGAGGTGGAGAAACAAAATAATATCAATTAAGATTACTAAATTATTATAATTATTTTTAAAATTAAAAATGATTGATGAGTTACGGGTCAACCTATCATAACCCAGTTCAAACTTGTTTAACTCGTAGATTAAGAGAACTTGGCTCAGTTTTAATGCGTTATCAGTAGAAATGAAACAAAATTGAATCCAACCTGACTTAATCATGTGGTGAGGTTGGCTCACAGTTACCATTCATATTAACATCTCTAATTATAATTAATGGATTGGATAAATCTTACTTTAAAAAATTGCAAAATTCTAATTTTATGTTTGACCAAAATTGGTTAAGATAAATTATTTTTGTAGAAATTTTAAAATATTTTATGATATATATGTGGTTTCGACATGTAGTTAAAAGAAATTAAAATTTAAAAAATTATAATAATAATTTAATTATTTAAAATTTTAACAATTTTTATTTTTATATAAAAATTTAAAATATGAAATTCCATTTCTCAAATTTACGTCTCTTTCTTTTAAATTATTTTCCGGCGTCAACCTTCTTTGATTTAAGTTGCAATATTCTTGACTTTGGATATATTGACTCTAATATCATTTTTTTCTATTGATGTTGATAGAAGTTTCTTTCATATTAAAATTAATTATGAATACTTTCTAATCTTTATGGTTGAAATTATTTCTTAACCGAGGTTAGTTAGGTTTTTTCTTTTCAACATCATATGTGAATTTAGATCAACATTTAACACTATTTCTTTAGCTGACATCAATTCGGATTTGATATTAGTTGATGTTTTCTCACCAACATCAATCAAAATATTTAAGTTGGGATTTTTCTTTTGTCCATGTTAAATAAGATTTATTTTTTTTACCAATGTTAACAAGACTTTCTTGACTAATATTCGATAAATATAAAAGTAAAATTTTCAAGTCATTTTCCAATTTATATTATTAAAATTATTTATCTACATAAGAACTATTTTTTACTTTGCATGTGTAAGAATTTATTGACCAATGTTAGTGAGATTAATCTTTGGACAAGGTGCTAGTATTATGTGAAAATAATTAATGTATTTTATATTTTTATATTCTGAAATAATTAAAATATTTCATCCAAATAAAAAAATTAATAAATTAAAATTACTTTATCTGAATAAAATATTTTAAAATTAAGCAATTTATATTAAAATTTAAAAATTATTTATCCCATAACTATAAGAACATCCGTACAAAAGAAATGACAAAACTTGAAATAAATAAAACTTGGAAAGAAACAAATTACTGTGAACCATCTTGTTTTGCTGGATTCCCCCTCAAAATATAAGTTCTGTCTTTCTATGGCGTTCTTGCATAAACCTAAAATTTATGAAAAAACAATTTGGATATTCTTTTTCTGCTACACACATTATTTTTTGTACTTACAATTTTCTCTTTAATTAGGAGCAATATCATTTAGTATTTTCGATATCCTTTTTTTTTTTTTTCTTTTATTAGATACAGAATCATTTAATTCCGTAACAAGATGGTTAAAAATTCAGCATAAAGAAGTGAGGGTTAACGAGGGTGTGCATCGTCTCATAATTTTCAAAACGCGTTTAATTATTATAATGAAACGGAGATTAAAGAAAACAAACAAGAAATGAAAGACGCGCATTGAAATAGAAATCCAAATTTATTCCTAAATGACTTTACACACATCGTATAAATCTTCTACGTGTTTACTTCACTCGAGCGTGATGGTGATTCATACCAAAAACGTATTGGCTGATAGTTATCCCTTAAGCATGAATTATCTTCTCATTCCAAGAACACGCGGGTTCTATATAAAGGAAGTTGAATCATCAGTGACAATAACTTGACACTGCATTTTCAGGGAGAATCAATAAACAAGGGACCAATGTATCTAAAATCTTAATTCTATAACCTTCTCCGACAAATTAAAACATTCCTTATTAAACAAAATAGTCATAATCATCGTATAGACAGAGTAGTTAATATGTAACTATATATATATATATATTATGCGTACGTATACTATATACTGTAATACTGTTACATCTCTTTCTTTCAAAAAAGACCAAAGAAGACGGAGAAACCTAGTACGATGAGCCACACAATATGCACCAAAAGCAATGCTTGACCGGACAGAGGGATGGAACCGCCATTACCAACTTCACAAAACCCCATTTTCGCTACCTCTGCGCCGGCGCACGCGGCTTCGCTGCACCCGCACCAGTACGTTACGCCGTCCACACCGCAAACGGGGTCCGTCCGAAAACACTTAACTGGGCACGACGACAGCGCCACCCTGCCGCACACTTTCTGCCCTTCGTTGCCGGAGACCTGGGACTGCAGCCGGAGGACCGTGGAGACCACTTCTTCGGCTGTCGCCGGAGGGAAGACGCAGAGAACGAAGACGGCGATGAAGACAGCGCAGATGCATGAGATTTTGGAGATTCCAACCATGATCTGGTAGAGACGAGCTCGCCGAACAAATAGGAGAGGACGATGGGTTGAGAATTGAAATGGGGTTGAATCGAATCGTAGTTGTGAAGGAGGAAAAAATTGGATCGAAGGGTTAAGAAATGTTGTTGTGTGTTGTTGAACTACATGAATAACGCTTCACCTTTCTATCTTACTTTATGTTTTCTTAGTGCATATCAATCTTCATCATTTATTTTGATGTTTCTCCAATCCACATTCTTAGCACTAAAATATTTTTACTACCTCGTCTATGAAAATTTAGGTAATATCACAGTAGTTTCAATAATACACAAATGTTTATGACAAGATATTTATGATAATCCTATAAATTGTTTTTTATCTTAAAAAATATAAAATAAATATTTATGATAAGATATCATTTTTAAGTTTATCACAAGATGATTTTATTTCATTAGAAATTTTTTTAATAAATTTTTAAAAAATCATTCTCTCTCCTGTTTTATCTCCTCATTTACGAAGATTTATTTGTTTTCTTAAATGGTGTAGTAAAGTAACTATAAGCAAAATTTAAGTACTTATTATATCACATAAAATATTTTTAATAAAAATTTATTTGAAATAACTAATATTTTATTTTAAATATCTCGTGTTCATACATAAAATTTAAAATATTTTTAATAAAAATTTATTTGAAATAACTAATATTTTATTTTAAATATCTCGTGTTCATACATAAAATTTAACAAGAAAAAATAAATTGGTTTGATCTAATACAATTACTTTTCTCTCTTTCTTCAATTATTTTCTTATTTTTCTCTCTCTTCATTTATTTCTCACTACTTTTTTTCATTTAGTGTTTATTTTGTTTTATTTTTTTCACTTTCTTCTACTTTTATTCATCTCTCGTTCTATCTTATTCTTCAATTAAAAATAATATATTAAAATTTGATAAAATGAATATTTTATTATTACCGAAAAATAAAAATATTTAAATGATCCAGAAATACTGTAATTTAATATATTTTTGTTAGATATGGTTAACAACAATATAAAATAATATATTTTGTTTATTTTGTTTACTTTCAGCTACTCTTTTAATTGTACCTCTCTCTATTATAAATGAATTATCCTATGTGTGGTTTATACACGGAGATTAATCTCAAACCCTATTTCGTCTATATTCAATATGGTATCTAGAGCTTGAGGTTATTTTGAAATTTTTTCGCCTTTGTCCACTGTTAGAGCCGCCACCACCGTTGCCAGTTAAACTAATTTTCCACATTAAAAAATAGTTATCTTTGTTACTAGATATTATTTGGTAGTGTGAAAGTGCATATCTAGGAAGGTTCTGACAAGGAAATACTTGGTATTTAAGCGTGTCCATTTGTGACCCACCTCTCTTTCCTGAAAACTTACCTGGCGTACTGGTTCACGCCGCTGTTTCCGGAGTTTCATTTTTGATCGGCAACATACAGTTTTGCTCGTCTTGGTCAAGCGACCATCATACCATTGAGATCACCACTATTAGAGTTGGTCATCCATTGTCTTCTGCGCCGTTTAGTTTCTACAGGCTTGTTTTGGTCTTCTTGTTTTGGATCTGTGCTTCATGGGTTGATTGGACTACTTTGGATTTTTTTAGAGTTTGTTCTCCAGCCCTTCTTGACTTCTTCCATTCCTTCTACTACTTCCAATTCTGTTAATGATTTTCTGCGTTGGCATTGACCGTGATGACTAGACTCGCCCTCACAAACAGGGAAAATGATGTCCTAAGTGTGAACATTGTGACAAACTAGGTCACAAGATTAACAAGTGTTATGCATTACATGGTCGTTCTCCTCGATCTGCTTTAGTTGTTCAGACTTATCTTTCCCCATATTTATCTACTGGGGATCCTTTTTCTTCTATTGTATCTAACATACCTACTATGTTCAACAAATTTCTCAAATGGTATAATGATCAACAGTCTTCTAGTTCCACTACATTTGTCACACACACACAGGTACATATTTTGCTAGTCTGACCCAATCCTCTTCTCCTGGTCCTTGGATTTTTGATTTAGAAGTCACTGATCATATTACTGGTAATAAATCTTTGTTCTCCTCTTTATCTTTTCCTAATCTTTTTACCTTCTGTTACACTGGTTGATGGCTCTAGAGTATCATCTCATGGTGTTGGAACTGTTAATCTTTTCCCTTCTTTAACCATTGATAATGTTTTTTATGTCCCTGAGTCTCTTTTTAACCTGTTGTCCATTAGTCGTCTAACTTGTTCTCTTGATTGTGTTGTTTCTTTTACCAACAATTCTGTGTGTTTACAGGATCGGAGTTCGAAACAGGTGATTGACACAAGATGTGAGTCTCATGGTCTTTATCATCTTCGTCCCTCTACCATGTTGGTGCAGTTATGGAGTCTCCCTCTCTTCTTCATGTTCAGTTAAGTCATCCAAGTCTTGCCAAATTATAGAAGCTTGTCCCTGCCTTATCCAACTTGTTTAGTTTGACGTGTGAGTCGTGTCAATTAGGCAAACATAATCGTACTTCCTTTCCTCGTAGTGTCACACGTGGTGTTTCGTCCCCTTTTATCGCGGTTCACTCTAACATTTGGGAACCTAGGTGCGTTAAGTCTACTTTAGGTTTTCAATACTTTATTACTTTCATTGATGATTATTCCATATACACTTGGTTATTTTTTATGAAATTCAAACTCAATTTGGTATTTCTATTAGAGTTTTGCGTATTGATAATGACCGTTAATATCTTTCTCATTCTTTTAAACAATTCATGGCTTCTCACGGTATTTTGCATCAAACTTCTTGTGCTTATATACCTCAACAAAACGATGTAACTGAACGTAAAAATAGACATATTATTGAAACAACTCGCACTTTTTTAATTTATGAAGAGGTTCTTCAACATTTTTGGAGTAATGTTTTTCTTACTGCATGTTACCTCGTTAATCGCATGTCTTCTTCGATTTTAGATAATAAAATACCTCATTCCATTTTATTCCTTCATGAACCACTTCATCCCTTACCTCTAAGAGTTTTTTAGTCTAGATATTTTGTTCATAATTTCAGTTCTGGTCTTGACAAGTTTTCTCTTAGATCACATAAATGTGTTTTCTTAGGGTTTATAAGATCACAAAAAGAATATAAATGTTTTTCTCCTTCTCTTGACCATTATTTTGTGTCTGCAGATGTCACATTTGATGAGTTCTCTCTTTATTTTAAAAGTTAATCTTCACATCTATCTTCATCCAATATTGTCAACACTCCTAGTACATTTAATGTTCTTGTTGTTTGTGACCTTTTAACTGTGTCTTCTTCACCATTAGTTCCTGCTCCACAATCATCTTCTTCTCCAACGCTTCTTCAGGTTTATAGTTGCCGAAACTCATCACAACCACCACCATGTGACTCTACTCAAGTGTCAACTACTATGTCTCCTCCGGATCTGACACCTGAGTTTGAACTTCTCATTGCCCTTCAAAAACGTATCTGTTCTACACGTAATCCCTCTCCCCATTATATTGCTTTGAGTTATCATCGATTGTCATTACCTTTTTATACATGTTTTTCCTTTATTTCTTCTGTGACCATTCCCAAAACTGTTTGTGAAGCTTTAGCCCATCCTTATTGGCGACAGGCCATATTAGATGAATTAAGTGTTCTTCATAATAGTGGAACTTGGGAATTAATCTCGTTACCGTCTGGGAAATCTGTTGTTGGTTGCAGATGGGTGTTTGTTATCAAAGTTGGACCTAATGATACTATTGATCGCCTCAAAGCTCGTCTTGTGGCCAAAGGTTATACTCAAATTTTTGGGTTGGATTATGGAGATACATTTTCCCTCGTGGCAAAGATGGCTTCTGTTCGTTTATTTTTCACCATGACCGCTCTTCAATAATGGTCTCTTTATCAACTTGATGTTAAAAATGTTTTCCTCAATGGTGATTTGCAAGAAGAAATCTATATAGAGCAACCTCCAACCTCCTGGTTTTTTGCTCAGGAGAAGTCTTCTAGGATGGTATATCGTCTTCGCAAATCTCTACATGACCTAAAGCAGTCTCCTAGGGCCTGGTTTGGAAAGTTTAGCAAGGTTGTTCAACAATTTGGTATGACTCGGTGTGAAGCAGATCATTCTGTCTCTTATCGACACTCGAGTGCTTGATGTGTTTACTTGATAGTATATGTTGATGACATCGTTCTTACAGGTAGTGACAACCATGACATCTCTCAGTTGAAACAACATCTTTGTCACCATTTTCAGACCAAAGATCTTGGCAAACTTAGATATTTCTTGGGTATTGAGGTGACACAGTCCAATGATGGTATTGTTATATCTCAGAGGAAGTATGTCATTGATATTTTGGAGGAAATTGGGCTGATGAGTTCAAAGTTTGTTGATACACCCATGGATCCTAATACTAAACTTCTAACAAATCAGGGGGAGCATATATCTGATCCTGAGCAGTATAGAAGATTGGTTGGAAAATTGAATTATCTTACAGTTATTCGTCCTGACATTTCCTTTGCAGTCAATGTGGTAAGCCAGTTTTTTAATTAACCATGTGAAGATCATTGAAATGCAGTCATTCGTATTTTGAAGTATATTAAAGAATCTCCTAGAAAATGATTTTTATATGGTTCTAATAACCATACAAGAGTTATTTGCTACTCAGATGCTGATTGGGCAGGATCTCCTTCAGATAGAAGATCTACATCTGGATATTGTGTCTCAATTGGTGGTAACTTAATCTCATGAAAAAGTAAGAAACAAAGTGTTGTGCCAAGATCCAGTGCAGAAGCAGAATATAGAGTTATGATCTCAGTTGTCTGTGAACTTGTTTGACTAAAAAAATTGCTTAGAGAGTTACAATTTGGAGATGTCACTCAAATGACACTTGTGTATGACAATCAGGCTCTGCTCTTCATATTAGTTATAATCTTGTCTTTCATGAAAAGACCAAACATATTAAGATTGACTGTCATTTCATTCGAGAAAAGATTATGTCTAGAGACATCAAGACTAAGTTTGTTAAGTTAGCAGATATTTTCACTAATTCTTTACGAGAGCCTAGAATTGATTATATTTGTAACAAGTTTGACATATATAATTTGTATGCTCCAGCTTGAAGGGGAATGTTAGATATTGTTTGATATTATTAAGATATTGTTAGATATTGTTAACCACAATATCAAACAATATCTTCTGTTTATTTTGTTTACTTTCGGTTACTCTTTTAATTGTATCTCTTCCTATTATAAATAGATTACCCTATGTCCGGTTTATACACAAAGGAGATTAATCTCAAACCTTATTTCCTTTATATTCAATAATTATATTTAAAAAATATTATATGATAAATTTAAAATATTATAAATATTATTATTATGCTATAATTATTAAAAAAATATTTATTTAATTTTTTTTTTAAATTACTCAATCTAATTAACTATTACAATTCAATCTAATTATAACTAGATTAAATTATTAAATAAAAAACATATTTAATTAATAAATATTTAATATTTTTTAATTAGATGAATAATTATTTATTATGATAAAATAGTTTTAAATTAATTACTTATTTTTAAAATAAAATTTTTTTTACTGTCATCATAATTTTAAATAATTAATTAATATTTTGTAGTTTCATGGTTGATTTTAAAATATTTATTTTTTAACATATTTTTATTAAATTTTAATATAGTAATAATTAGAACAATAAATGAGAAAAGAGAGACATAAGAGACGGGAGATAAAAAAAATAATGAGTGAATAATAAAAGAAAAAAAATTATGAGAAAAGAGAAGATAAATTGTATATAAACGTCTAGTTAAAATAAATAAATTGATAGATGCTCTATTTAAATAAATTTTTTTAAAATAAATTTTTTATATAATTTTTACGCATCTGTGTCTTAAAAATTAGGACGCTAATTATTTAAATTTTATTCTGCTTTTACGATTTGTTTATTAGATAAAACGAACCAACACAAACAAAGTATTATTGTTATGAAATGATGATTTTATGATATAAAAATATTTATTTTTTCTTAATCTTTTGGAGATTTATGATCTATTGTTTTCGAAAGATATGAATGCTAAGACACATTTTTTTTCATAAAAAAAATTAGGATTTAATTAAACAATTTATTGTCGACTAAACTATCTATTAGGATTTAATTAAACAATTTATATTTAGCTGAAATATTTAAAATATATTTTTAAATAACACAGATTTGAAAAAAAAGTAATTTTTAATTTATATCATTAAAAAATAAAATTTTGATATAACAATATAAAATAGTAAACAAAAATGCCTTTTAAAAGTTTCATGAAAAAAAGTTTACTTAATAGGTTGCTATAATTTTGACAACAATGGTTTAGCCTTCTTCTTTTTAAATTGATATGGTTGGAATCATATGAGAAATGTTAAAATGAAAAATTTAGATTCACAACAAAATTTCATTGTTCCAAACCCTAGCAATTTGAATTTTATTTTTTTTCCTTATGTTTAACAAAATTCCATACTATATGCTCAAGGTCACCATATATTAGTCCTTGTCATAGTAATTTTTGGAACATGTGTAATTTAGACATCAATTCATGCTCAATTTAGTCCTCGTGTTAACTAGGGCCATATCCTAAAATAGTCACAACCAACTAGCACCAGAAGTAACCCTAATAGCCAAACCCTAATCGTCAAAACAGCCCCTAAATCGGTGTTGCAAGCCGAGAAGTGCTCCTAAAATTGAGACCCAAATAGGTATAAAAAGAGGTTTAGGGCAACGTTTACCTCAGCATCCTTTGATTTGTGGTGTTCTGTCTTGAATCACACACTCTCCTTCTTCGTTCTTATTTGTTGATTTACATTCACAATGGGAGGGTGTGTGAGCGGTCCCAAGAAGGACGGAGTTGAGGTAACAGTTGAGACTCCCGCCACACCAAAGAATGCTGAGGCCGAGACACTTGTTGCTCCTCAGGTGAATTTCTCTTTCTTTCTCGTTTTCATTTCATCAAACACATACGACGCATCAATGCATGACACACCATGAATATGTTTTTGTATTTGTGCAGGAGAAGAACCAACAGGAAGAGGTTTCAGTTGAGGAGGAGAAAATGAAGGAAGGTGAAAAGGAGGAAGAGAAAGTAGAACAACCAAAAGAAGCAGAAAAAACTCTCCTCTCCCTCTGATCACATTTTCTCAATATCCCTTTTGTACACTCCCCCGTTGTGTCTGCAACATCTCTCTTGTTTGCTACGGAGAGTCATTTAATAAAAGAAAATATTTTATTATGGTTTTCATGTCTAAATTACATAAAAATAAAGAAAGTTACTTAACATTATAAAAAAATTACATGAATGATCAATTCTAATTATATTTTAAGTAACTCAATTATAAAATACATAATAAAATATTTAATTTTATTCTTAACTACCTCTATTCTAAAATTTCTTTTGAAAATGTCTTAATCCAAATAAAATTAATTTATTCATTTGAAAAATCTATTTATATTGTTTTCTTTCCTTTTTTACAATAGGCAAAAATAATTACGTACGTTCAAAATATAAAATAATGAAGTGAAATAATACAAGTAATTATATAATCATTGAAAATATGTATTTATATCAACATAATAAAAAAAATCTCTAGAATTCTAACATAAAACTATTTCATTTACTTATTATCATAAATTTTATTATTTTTCACTTCTTTTAATTTATAATTTTCATAATTTTTGTATTTCTAACCTTTCAAGTTTTATTTTAGTCCATGCATACTTTTAATATTTCCAAAGAATAATGAAAAATAAAATAGTTTTTATAGATCAAAACGCATATTTTATTGAGTGTAATCTTATCCGGATAAAATAAAATAATTTTTCAGTATTTTTTATTTAATTATATCGTTTAATCTTATCACCAAAACAATTTTTATAAAGCTTTTACGTGAAATAAATAGTCAATATTTTTTACGAAATAATTTATAGTACTTTACTTATTGTAACACGTATTATTTTAAATCATGATTATAATGTATTTAGTATTTTAGTTAAATATTTTTAATCTCAGTTAACAAGTCTATTTATAAGGATTACATATATGACACATTTTTTAATGGATGAGAGATCAAAAGAAAATGAATTAGAAACATATTTCTGATTTTATTTAATTTTTTATGATCAACTTATTTAATTGATTATTTAATTGATGTGGTCGAAGTTTTAAGAGGTGGATTTGGATGTGGGAAATCTCCATAATCTTCTCCACTAAAAAAAACATTAGAATTGTTATGTTCTAAATTCAGAAATATAGGTCTAAGAGAGTGAAAAAAAAAAGAAAAAAAAAGAGAGAAAGAGATAGAAAAATAAGGATTTTTTATTAAAAGGAAAAAATAAAAAAAAATGTAGAAAAATGAATAGAAAGATAATAATTGATAAGATTTATTTAATTTATAATAAAAAATAAAAGTAAAATATATTAAAAAAAAACAAAAAAATATTTTTAATATAAATTAATAAGAATAAATATAAATATAAATTAAAATATGATTTAATATAAAACAATTAATAATAAAATTGATAAAAATGAATAACAAATAAACTTATGATATCATAAAGACATATTTATATTTTATAATAATTTATAAATAAAATTAAATTTGTAAAGACTGAAAAAATATTTACTTTTTAATAAATTTAAAATAATTAAAATTAATAAAAAATATATATAGATTTTTTTAATATCTTATTAATTAAAAATAAATATTATATATTTAATCAAAATAAAAACATATAATTTGTGTAAAAAAAATTTATAATCTTTTATCAATAAATATATGATTTTACAATATTTTTAAAAAATAATTTCATAATTTTTTTTTCAATTAAATTAGTTTTTCACTGTCTTTCCTCTAAATAAATCTTATAATTCTCACTCCTTCAATTTCTTTACACATCATACCAACTAAATAGAAATCATCAATGCAAATTCATTTTTCTCTGACCGCATATGCACCTGTTGAAGCAAACACAACTTTAAGTCCAAAAGCACAAACTAAAGTTTAATATTTTGATTAAGAAATTAAAACTTGAAATTTTAATAAGAACAAGACCGATTGATAAAAGCTTCTTCAAGTCCCTAAATTCAAGTGGAACAACTAATTTAATTAATTAACGTAAATTGTACCGAAAATCGAAGCAATAAAATAAATTTAATTATAAAGCTAAGCATGTGAAATTTTTAATGAGTTTTTTAAAATTATAACTTGTATCATTCGATTAATGAACTTGAGGCTTTCATTCTAATTTTTAAAATTTATTAAATTTGTTAAAAAATAATAAAAAAATAGTTAAAAAAAACAATGATATTCCTTATATTTTACTGGATGGATACCTTCCTATAAGTAGAAATATAATTTAAAGTTTTAATATATTTAAATTATATAAATAATAATTAACATTACAAATACTAATAAATTAAACATAATCAATAATAATTTATAATTCTCTCTTTTAAATATTTAATTACTAAAAAACATAATTAGTTAAAATCTTAAAATAATAAGATAAAACCCAGTGAAAACACTAATAAAAAATTAGTTATTTTCAGCAAACTTTTCTTATAAATTTTTATTTAAATTTATAAAAACTTATTTCTTTTAAATTTTTTTAAGAATTTACAAAAATATTTCCTTAAATATAAGAATTTTTGAAAAAATATATATTTTTAATAGATGTTTAAACTATATGTATTTTTTCATTTCATGTAAATAATAATTAATGGATAACGAAATCTAATGACCAATTATAAAATAATAATAAAAGAAATTCTCTTTCACAAAAAAATTATAAATAGATCGTCAAATTTTTTCATAAGCGAAATTTTTAAGATTATAAAAAAAATTGAATGAATGTCTTATTATATTTTAACATATATCTTTCAATTGAGCAATGAAATTTTTGTCTTTATATATAATATATAATCACTTTATGTAATTTTTTTTCAAAGATATACTTACAAGTTTCATACACACATCAAATTATATATCTCAACCAAACATATTTTTCACTAACTAATTAATGCTAAATTTTTTGTATAATTTGAGGATGTTATTATTGTCATTTATTTCATATATATTTATAATATAAGTTTGAACAGTTAATACCTATGAAAAAATATTCTATGTATGATTGTTATTATGAAATTTAATAAATAACTTTTATTTATATAATTCTTTAAATCTAATTTTGAAATATATGACTAAAACAAAATCATATTCATAGTCTTCGAGATAATAAAATGTATGTTTTTCTATTTTAATTTAATGTCTTGCATGTGTTGAGTTATATCTTGTTAATATTAAGTGGGTAACCAATTTATTGGGTCTATACTAATTAAGTTAAAAGAAGAAAAAAAATAAGGATATTTTTCTTAACCGCTCATTGAATCATAATAAGACGTATTTTTAGTTGCATTGGAGTTCTTTAAGACAAGCGAAGAACATAAAATAAAGAAATTGTGTCTTTAGTGAGAAAAGCAAAGAAGTCCCCAGGAGAGAAAAATAAGAGCATAGTAAAAAAGTTAGCATGGAGAAAAGTTTTTCTTCTACCAAATTATTAGTATTTTGGTTCTTTATTATTTTGTTAGATACCTTTTAGAATTATCTAACTAATTGATGAAGAAAAAATATTTTGTTGATCATTGAAAGCTCAAGGAGAAATTGTGTTACCCATTAATTATTATTATTAGTGGACATTTTTTTATCAAGGTCCCATGAATTTTTTCTTTACATTGATAGTTTTTTCACATTAAAATTTAATGTCTACTGATTTCTTATCTTTCTAATTTTGGTTTATATTATCATTTATTTATTGCATGATGAATTCAAAGTCTACTATCATTACTCACACTACAAGAGTTTTATATATTAATTATGACACATTTCGTAACTATTTTATAGCTAATCTCCTGTTGATACGTTTTGCTACAGATTAGTTACGGAGTAGCTATGAAATATTTTGTCGCTAAATCCAAGTAACTAATTAGATAAAGATGTATTTTCTCTCAAATTTATAGCAAATTTTGTCGTCAATCTGTCACTAAGTCACTCGCTAATTTAAGTGATGAAATTTTGTCTTTCTCTAGCTAATTGATCTCCTAAAAGTTAACGTGTAGTTAAGTTGTAGTTAATCCCTCTCAATTTTTCTCTCGCTAATCTGTAGCTAATCTCCTCACAATTTCGCTCTCGCTAATTCGTAGCTAATCCCTCGTAATTTTTTTATCACTAATATGTAGTTAATCTCTGACAATTTATCTCTAGCTGATCTATAGTTAATCCCTCGTAATTTCGCTATCGCTAATTTGTAGTTATTCTCTCACGATTTTTCTATCGCTAATCTGTAGTTAATCCCTGACAATTTATATCTAGCTGATCTGGAGATAATTTCTCGCAATTGTTTCCCCACTAATCCGTAGCTAATTCTTCACAATGTTTCTCTCGCTATTTCGTAGTTAATCCTTCACAATTATTTGTCGCTACTATATATCAAAATTATTCTCTCATTAATCCGTAGTTAATCTTTTGCAATTTTATTTGCAAGTAATTTGTTAATTATTATTATTGGCATAGTAGGTATTCCTACTAAAGTATCATCATAACATTATAATATCAAATGTTTAACATTTAAATTATTACTCATATTCTTGAAAAAAAGAAGACAAACTTATCTATTTTCAATATAAAAGTATTGTTTAAACATAGTCAAAATGATGTCAAACAATTAAAACATAACAAAAATAATATTTCAACTAAAAAGTTTTGTATCAACTAAAAAGTTTTATATCAACACAATTATTAATAGAAACAAAGTTTTGATTTTTTTTAAAGTACATTTTCATCCTTGTTTATTTAAGGTAGATAATTAATCTTTCTTAAAAAATTGTATTTCTGCTTGTGTTTGCATCAATGTTTGCATATCAATTTGTGTCTGCAACTGTGTTTTCATTTGCTCTTGCAAAATAGATATATGTGTAGCTAAGGTAGTGATTTCTTTAGTGAGATGTGTGGTAAGATTTTAAGAAGAGTGACCTTCAACTCGATGAAGATGAAACATGTGAAATACCAAGATCCAAACTCTGACCTATACCATAAATTTTATCTTTTTCATTTTCACCAATAGTTTTTATCCAAA